GTAGTTATTAGACTTCCTTTCAAGTGGATAAATGATTTTCTATTTTAAATATAGACAGGCTTGATATGCTTCATGGTATCTTTAATGTCAGTAAATTGAGCCTTGCACAGAAACATCCTGCGTTTCAGTTTCTGACAGTATTAGCTTGCGTAATTTGTTTTCGCGTTTTTCTTCACCTTCAAGGTCAGCCTCATAGATGCATAATATTTAATTTTGCTTTCAGTTGATAGTTACAAATGCTACATTTCTGTTTCTTCATCTTATCAATGTACTCCAAATGCCTCTGATACTTACTTACTTATCAAACTGTAAGCCTATGGACCTTTTTTTGTGATGTATTTTGAGTCATAGATAGTATTTTCATGTGTCAATGACTATCATCAAAGAATAGGGATTACTTTAGTGATGATCTATCACAATAGAAATGTCCTACTCTTTCTTTTAAATTTTTTTAAAGATGATTTTATTTAACTTTGTTTATTTATTTAGTTTAATTTGACCAGAGAGGGACAGAGTGAGAATGAGAGCAAAACCCAAAGCAAGAGCGAGAGAAAATGAGAAAGCAAGTCGCCAGGTCTGGGACTCGAACCGTGATCAGCCATGCGGGAGTCCAGTGCTCTTAAACACCAAGCCACCTGCCAGCCCCATCACAATAGAAATGTAAGCAGAAATTCAATTCATTATTTTACTGGTACTTTCATTAACTTTCTTTACCTCTTTTGCATTAATATGCCATATTGTTTTATGAACTTTCTGCTGAATGTTAATCGAAGAAGTAAGTTTTAAAGTCTCCTTTATACGAAAACCTCAGCATCATATTTTTCCTTATTTATCACGGGTAAGTTTTCTAGCTGAGTTATTGCTAACCTTTCCTCCAATTACTAGTCCAAATCTACCGCTTTGGTATTTTCGATTTCCTTTCATATTAAAAATGAATTTGATGTTTATGAGTATTTTCATGCATCAGCTGACAATGTGGAAATGTTTTCAGATATACACTGCGAGGCGATTTCACTGTGGTGTGACATCATAGAGTCAACTTTCACAGACCTAGATGTGACAGCCTACTACACACTAGACGACCTGGTATATCCTGTAGCCTGTTGCTCTGCCATCTATGTCATTTGTCATGGATCGAAACGATGCTTTATAATGCATGCCAGCACATACTCTGAAATGACAAATGAACTCTCCTTTGAAATGCTCCCCTGAAGGGAAACAAGGCAGACGGCAGGGCAAGGCCTTTTATTTATGCTGCTTTGCAGCCAAAATGGAAACTAAAGGCCATTGGGTTATTCTGCTCATTAACCTAGATATTCATAAAACATAGGTATTTGTCTTTTGGTGAAATTTACCCTGAAGTGCAGTGAAACTCAGTCTAACATCTGATTGAATGTTTTCATTTTCTGATCCTAATGTAAGCATCCAGTTGGTGCTTGTTTACCCGGATGAACACAAGGTTTGAGAAAGCCTTTGGAAGGTGAGAGAATTCCATCTGCCATGCTGCATAGTAACTCGGCCTGAACCGTGGCTCTGCCTATGAAGTGAATACTTGTGGTTGCCATGTTCTTAGGAAAGCAGAAGCTCTCATGGAGATAAGTAAAGTGTGAAATTTTCAATTTACTGGCCAGCTAACATAGGAAATGTCTTAGAATTATAAGCCAGGAGTTCAGAATTTGAGAGAGCCAGATCTCACACACACAAACACACACACACACACACACACACACACACACTTCCTTCTTTCTTTCCTTTCTTTCTCTCTGCTCTCTGTCTTTTTGTTTGTTTGTTTGTTTGTTTTGGTTTGCAGTGTGTACACTCACTGGAGAGACAGAAAAAGACAGAGACAGAAAGCAAGAAATCACTCCCTAGCGGGAGATGTCCACACTGCAATCTCTTCTCCTTCATTGTCCTCCAGGGATTTTGGGCACACATGCACACATGCCCCATGTGAGTTTTAAGCTGCCAGGTCTGGGACTTGAACCGCGGTTAGCTACATGGGAGTCCAGTGACATAACCATTAACACCATCTGCTGACCCCCACACTTTCTTTAATGGCAGATCTATCTGGTAGTTATTAGATATTGCCAATAGAAGGAAAATAAGAAGCAAGAGAACTCAGTTTGGAGAGTTATTATGATGCAGTGGTGTCTTTAAACAGTGGGGAACTCGCTAGTGATTGTCTTGAGTGGCAGATGGTTTCTTAGCTTATCAATTCTGAAGCCTCTATGAAAGAGAATGGGGTGAGTAGTCAAAGGCATAAAGAAAAGTGAAAACAAATAGCAAGGCTGCAGACCTCGGGATTGTAAAGAGCCATTCACATTTTATTGGATCAGCCATTATCTTTTCACTATAATGTATCCAGTTGCATCTGTTGGGAATTTTTCTTCCTTAATCTCCATAGAAAACACATTATTTTGTTAAAACTGAGTGAGTGGGGGTAGTATTTGTGATTTTAATAGGGTTTTTAGATTTTTGTATTCCTCTTTATATCGGGTTATTCTTCTATTTGAAATTGTAATCTAAAAAAAATAGTTCTGAAAAATGTTAGAAGTAGAACACAGCAACACACATTTGCATTTCGGTTTATCAACAAAGGGCGAGACAAACATGAAAAAGACGTACCTGCCATTTATTAACTGCACTGCTGCTCAACTCAGAACTTACGTGACTAAAAACAGTACTTAACCTCAATGTTTTTCTGTCATTTCAGGATCTTACTGTGCTGCAACGTGTCACTGTGGTTCAAAATTAAGAAGGGAATTGAAACAAGGAAAATTTTTTCTTTTAAGAAATATAATAAGAAATAGTGCTTGCTTGTATGATTTCTAATGACATGAATACTGTTTGACTATTTATTTTTAATTGTGATTTCTGGCTTATATGTAATCATTGTACTTCTTAGTAAGGTACAGAATGGTTTTACAGAGCATGCAGACAGTGTGAAAATTATAGCATATTCAATTTCTTTTACATTTTCATTGTTGCATACATTTAGAAATAGATCTATTTTTAAAAAGGTATATATTGAATTGCCAAGGTCTTTTTTCACTCTGTTGTGGCATACCATTATAAAAAGGGGGAAAAAGAAGAAAGAAAACAACTTGTACAGTCAAACTAGCAAGAATTTCATCTTCCTTTATTTGACTCAGCTTTTTTGGTAATTCCACTGTGACTATCAGTATATACGAAGTGTTTAATAATGAAAAAGACACTCAAATGCTGGCCCACAGTGTCCAATAATGAGTGGGACACTTCGTTCACCACAGAACATGGTTCAGTAGTATTTCCCTTACTTTTAGAATTATTTATTTCATTTTATTTATTCATTCATTTATTTTAATTTGACTAGAGACAGAGAGAGGGAAAGTGAGAAAGCAAGCCACTAGGTCCAGGTCATGAACCATGGTTAGCTATATGAGAATGTCCAGTGCCTTAATCACCAGGCCACCTGCTGGCCTCAATAGTGTTTCTTCCAGAAACATGGCATATGTAGTTAATAAAGCTATATAACTTTTTAATGTTATATGTTGGTACTTCACTACTGAAGTCTATAGTCATTTACATTAACATATAAATAATTGAAATTAAAGCCTAAAAAAATGTGATGAGTGAAAAAATGGCCCATAGGAAAAGTAAAAGTCAATAGCTACTCATGAAGACAGGCTTTCGCAGAGCTCATGTGAGGTAGCATAGAATTAATATTATTCATTATAATAATGTGTGCATGTGTGTTTGCCTATTTGGGGCTGTATTAATTTGCTGGGCTGCCATAATAAATATCTATAGCCCCGGAGTTTTAAACAACAGTAATTTGTTTTTTCACCACTCTGAACGGTAGCTGACCAGGATCAAGGGGTTGGTATGCTTGGTTTCTTCCGAGGCCTCTGTCCTCGGTTTGTAGATGGCTGTCTTCTAGTGTCTTTATTTGGCCTTCCCTCTGCACCTTTCTGTGTTTAAATCTCTTATAAGGACAATGGTCATATTGGATTAGAGTCCAACCTAATGATCTCATTTTAATTCCATCATCTGTATACACAGTCACATTCTTGAGGTATTATTGGGGGTTGAGGCTTCAACATATGGATTTTGGAGGGACACAATTTAGCCCATAACATTGGTTTTAGAATGTTAATGGTTTTATCAAGATATAATTTGTGAGCTATAAATTTTATCCACTTTAAGTTTCATGAGTCTTAGTAATTTTATCACCAAGTAATCTTATTACTTAGTAGCCCTGTGACAATCACCATTCCATTTTAGAACTGCATGGCATTGTTTGAAGTCTCAACAGGCATGATGATGTAATGGGAGTACTGGATGACAAACCAGTTGTTACATTATCAAATTGCCCACTAAAATTTATAATGTAATAATGAGTTGACACTATTGCCTATTGGCCTGAGTTTTTTGTAATCAGTTATATTGATGTTAATACATTTTGTACTTAGCATTCTAAGTTGTTTTTTTTTTTTTTTGGCTTTTGACTTTTGGCTTTTGGCTTTTGGCTATGATTTTTCTTATCAGGATGGAGGCACAGGTCCCAAATAAGCTACTAGAAAGGGAATGTTGTGAGTTCTTATATGGAGGGTTTCAACTAACTTTGAGAATCCTTTTGAAAGAAAGGAGTTGGGAGACTTGGATTTGGTCTGAACTTTGTGCTTTCTAATCTGATCCTCAATCTTCTCAACAAAATAAGGCCTTGTTCTCATGCAAGACTGTAATAAGCATCAAAAGAGATTACATAGGGTACAAATCCTTAAGGATTATAAATTGTAATGTAAATCTAAGGGGTGTTACTTTTTGAAGAGAAAAAAAATGAGGCCTCTGAATACATGTAATTAAAATAAATTTTTCTGACCTGTTAATGGTTTACCCAGTTACTTCAAAAATAATTATCTTGTGAGAACTTCAACTTTTAAACTTCTCTATGATGTAATTATTAATGTACCAAACAGCCTAAAGAAATTGATTCGAAAGCACAAGAAGAGATCAGGGGCACGCTCACTTTGGAGCACATATCCTAAAATTGGAACAATACAGAGAAGATTAGCATGTGTGGCCCCTGTGCGAGAATGACATGTAAATTCGTGAAGCGTTCCATATTTTAAAAACTAAATATAGGAGAAGATACCTTCATGGCTCCTGAGAACTAGTTATTTCAGGGAATAAAGAAATGAAGATTTTTCTACTGATAATTCAGCCTTCAGCCCACAAACTCCAGTGGTAGGAGCTCCCTCAAGCCTTCTCTCTACCTCTGCCTCTGCCTCTGTCCCTGTCCCTGTGTCTCTCTACCTCTGTCTCTGTCTTCTCATTTTTTTTTTTTTTGTAATTTTTCCTTTATAAAATTTTTAAAGGTAAAGTATTTTCTCAGCTTTCAGCCCCTCCTCTCCCTTTATCTTGTTAATAATCCCTGTCCTCTTCCCAACCCATGAGAGGTAAGGGAGAAGGCCTCCTGAGACACCTTCATGGCTCCTGAGAACTAGTGATTTTGCACGGCGTGCTTGTGCACCGCACAGTTTTCTAATTTTTGATTTTTTAAAAAATAATCTTTAAAGTTTTTTTCTTCTCTTTTTCTCTGTTTCTTGGCTGTTTTTGTTGCTATTGTTTCTCCCTCCCTGTTTCCTTTTCTGCACACTCCTGGATGCTCAGATTGAACTTCAAGTTTGGGAAGAAACACGCTTTCCATCAGATGACTAGAAGTCACTGCAGGACCGCAAGAAATATGGGAAAGCAAGAAAATGCCTCTCTTCCAAGGGAAAAGAATAACTTCTCTTCATCCACAGACAGTTCAATGGAAATCATGGAAATGTCTGATTAAGAATTTAGAACATTCATAATGGTGAAGCTAACAGAGATGGAAGGGAAGAGAGACAATGCAGAAGAGAAAGGAGAAAGGAGCTGATGAGTTCCAGGAGGTGAGGAAATTCTTGCAAGATCTAAAAGAGGAATTATACACTTTACAAAAGAATCAAACGGAACTGTTAGAGATAAAGACTATAATACAGGAAGTCAAAATCTCCCTTGAGAGTATTAAAAGCAGACTAGATCATACAGAAAATAGAATCTCAGATGTAGAAGAGAAAATTGCTGGCCTAGAAAAATCCACCACAAAGACTGAGAAAATTGCCCCAAAATTTGAGAATAATATACGAGATATACTAGATACAATCAAACATCCAAACATCTGGATAATTGGCATCTCAGAAGGTGAAGAGACTCATAAGGGCATTGATAATCTATTCCATGAAATCCTGCAAGAAAACTTTCCAAACCTAAAGAGGCATTCAAAGATTCAGTCTCAAGAAATACAAAGGACCCCAAATAGAATCAACCCAAGAAGATCTTCTCCAAGACACATTATAGCCAGACTGACCAAAACCACAGACAAAGACAAGATTGGTAAGACAGAAACGGCAAGTTACCTATGAAGGATATCTTATCAGACTAACAGCAGACCTCTTAGCAGAAACAATGTGAGCAAGGAAAGAATGGGAAAATATATTCAAAGTGTTAAGGGAAAAGCAATTTCAACCAAGAATACTGTACCTGGCAAGATAATCCTTCATATGGGAAGAAAAAACAAGAATTTTCTCAGATAAACAAAACCTGAAAGAATTTACCAACTCCAGACCAGATCTCCAAGAAGTTCTCAAGGGAGTGCTATGTCAGGAAAATTAAATGTAGTCACACAGAAATAAGAGTTCAAAAACTAAGAAAATGGCCAAGTTAATCGTAGGGACAAGTCTGGAGTTGAATATTATATCCCAGAATTCAATCAGGATGATCGAACCACAACAGAAGATAAAGTACATGAGACTGAACTGGTGAAATAGCAATCTGACTTTTGACTAAAATATTGCTGCTTTTCTTCTAGGCTTTGTTGTCTGGTTTTAAGAGTTTTTGTCCAGTCTTGAGCTATCAATAGGTTCATGTACCTACTATTTGAACAGAATACTAACCTGTTTCCAGGCTTTAACTTTTAAGCAAATTTCCTTACCAATTAAAAACTGCTTTTCTTGAAATTACCAGCTGAACTTGCTATGAAAGTAGTTAGATTATTTAAGAAATTGTGTGATCAATAAAATGTGGGGAAAAAAGGAATAGAAGACAACTGTAGACAACAGAGACAGTGTGAGAAGAGGGTGGGAAAGGGCAGAGGATCAGATATAGGGGTAGTATATATATATATATAACTAAATATAGACACAAAAATAAGAATTCAAAAACAACCAAGAAAATAGCCAACTTCATGGTAGGGACAAGTCCTGAGTTGAATGTTTTCTTCTGGAATTTAAACAGAAAGATTGAAACACAACAGAAGAGAGATTAATTACATGAGACTGAAGTGGTGAAATAGAATTTTATAATTTTTAACTAAAACATTACTGATTTTCTTCTATGCTTTGTTTTCCAAATTTAAGGATTGTTGTCTTCCTTGAGATGATGATAGGTTCATGTACCTACTATTTGAACAGAATCCAGCAAATTTCTCTTAATGTTTTTTGACTTTGGTTTATTAAAGCTAAAACTACTTTTCTTGAAATAAAAATATTAAAAATCTATTTAAGGACTGCAGTAAGCTATATAGCCTCAGCTAGATGCTACTTTATAGTATATTCATTCTACTCATGGAGTTTCATGTCTAAAATCAGACACGTGTTCACAGATGTCTATATATCAGCTGAACTGTCTGTTAAAAGTATTTAGATTAATTAAGATATTTTGTGAACCAATAAAATATGGGGAAAAAAAGGAATGGAAAGCAACTGTAGATATCAGAGACAGTATGAGAGGAGGGTGGGAAATAGCAGGGGATGAGAAATAGGGAATCAAAAAAAAGAAAAAGAAAAAGAAAAAATATATAAGAAACAAGAAATGGAAATTATTTATTTACAATAACATCTATGATTAAACCAATATACAGTGTATTCAGAATGGGAAATCACATTTTGTATGCTGTGATGATGTTCAGTGGGTTAATGTAAAACAAATACATTTAAAAAGAGGAAATAAGAGATTAGGGGATATATTAATCATTAAAAAATTAAGTTTTAAGTTTGTAGACAGAAATCATGTTTCAAAATATTTTATATATGCCTCTTATTAAATTGCATCGAAAGATCTTTGTAGTTTGAAGCTTCCTTTGCTTTTGCCCGTAAGGGTGTCTCCCCAAAAACTTATTTATTGTTTAAAAATAAAAAGGGAATGAAAAAAGACTAGTTACTCTCGCCACTTCAGATCATTCTAACTTCAGTCAAAATACTCTGGTATAAAATTACACTTTGTTTTTAATATGTGTAGTAAGGTAGATGTGTTGCAAATTGGTTTATCATTAAATAAATCTTCATCAAAACCCATAATTAGTCAAGATCATCTGCCCCTGAGTAACGTACCAGCACTGAAGAAAAGCTGCTTCCTTGTAAATTGAGAGGTTTCTTGAAGCAGGGGCTATGACCTAGGGAAATGGGTATGAACATTCAGAACAGCTCTCTGGCAGATATTTGAACAATCGTGTTATCCCCCCAACACTGTCTTTGCTCACTTACCCCTCTACCTCTAGAACAGGAGTTCACGGAACCCTGTTTGTGTGGCAATGACTTAGCAGTTGCAAGTTCAATGAAATAAAGTGCTGGCTAATTTTATTGAGAATTTATGACTGGAAGGTCTTAGATTGACTCATTCAGACTTATAAGGAACTGGCGTGTTCTTAAGAACATGAAGTCTCATTTGTATTACAAAGCAGGTTTCTAAATGAACTTGCTTGTTTCAAATAGAAACTATTAGCCGTGCATTGAACCATATGTGGTAAGAAATCAGGTAACAAACAGAATGTTCTGTTAAGTTTCCCCAGGACGGTGGCTTTAAATATTCATTTTACAAACAGGTCTACTCAATATGCTTGCTTTTCCTTCTTTGAAGCGGAAGTGTGACCTGGGTGTAGATTTCAGTGTCTCAATACGTAACATTTTCAGGAAAGCCATTAAAAACAGCTGAAGTAAAAAACGTCACCAGATCCCCAAATCAAGACGAAGACATAAAAGCAGATGGAGGATCCAGCTGCAGATTTTGCATTAGATGGCTATCTCAAGGGAGTAGAAGCACAGTTCTCTTCTATGAACCCCACGACATGTACGTTGCTTTTGAAACAAAGGTGGGAGAGAAGGGACCCTAGACTGTTTCAGCTAAAGTCTTGAGGAGTCTGTGAGATTACTTGCTAAAGAAACAACCTTGGGTGGAACTTCAGAAACAGAAGTGGTATTAAGGAAGTGTGTGGCCTTTGGATATGAACTAAGTCACAAAACCTGACTCTGGAATTTCTAGGAAGCCATGACATCGGTGAAGTTAACCTAGGCTGAGTCCCCTGTTTTTAATCAGCACTCTCTTCCCCTTATTCTTATTTTAAATATATTTTTAAATTTTGCCAGAGGGCACATGTACTCACCAGAGAGAGACAGAGAAACAGATAGAGAGGAAGGGGGAGGGAGAGAGCACCTTCAATGGGGTGTGGCCACACTCCGACTCCCTCTCCTCCCCTGCCCTACCCTGTCTAGATTTTTGGCACACATGGTTATACAACCAGTGAGTTTTTCATCCCACTGGGGCCAGGATTTGAGCCATGTACTAGGTTAAATGTTAGATCTGACTTTCTTAACCACTAGGCCCCATGGTCCAACTGTTCTTATTCTTTATGTTCTCTTAAAATAGGTGTGGATAAAACCTGACATTTTTTCAAGCATAAATTTTCCTCATCATTGATTCTTTGGATCAAAATATTTCCAGGGGAGGGGACCAGCAGGTGGCATGTTGGTTAAAGCTCTGGACACTCTCACATGGCTGACCATGGTTCAAGTCCTGGACCTGCTGGCTTACTAACTCACTTTCTGTCTCTCTCTGGTCAAATTAAAATAAATGAATGAATAAATAAATTAGAATAAAATAATTGTTTAAAAAAATGTTTCCAGGGGAGTCACTTGTAGTTTGTTTCCTGATTCGTGAGATGTAGTAAATCATGAACCTGCTTCTAAAGAGATTTGGAGAAGTGTCCCATTATCAGTGTTAATCCCTAGTGTGGCTCCTGGAGAACTGTTTTCAAAAAGTGCCTTTCTT